CAGCAGTGCAGCACCCAGCAGTGCAGCACCCAGCAGACCCCGGTGACTCACGGTTGCAGGGCTCAGCTGGAAGCTGGCCAGCAGCAGGACCTGCCCCAGCAGCACGGCGCAGGACAGGTTGGCGTGGATGTGGTAGCGCTGGTTGCGGATGGTGCTGACAGACCTGCAGGGCACAGAAACACCTCAGCATGGCTCCGGGGCACGGCTGTGCCCATCTCCCACCTGCAGGCACCCACACTGCCTTTGGCTCTTGGCGGGGGCACTGGGGGCTCTCTGGAGCTCTGCTCCCAGCGGCGTGGGGCGCCAGCTGAGGGGAGCCCTTGGCATCCTGCTGCTGTCCCACAGGCAGCAGGAGATGGATTTGCACGTGAGCAAGTGGATGTGACAGAATAGTGACAGAACATCAGCAAAGGGTTTGATCCTGATGGGTGCTAGGGTACCAGGCAGGTCGCACCCACTCCTCACAGAAAGCACATGGCACCTGTGCCCACACTGTGCCACAGTTCCTGGGTTCATTTTGTTGGTATTTGCCTTTCTGGGAAATAAGGGAATGGGAAAATACATTGGTTCCAATTCTGTTTTATACAAATATAACTTCTGAGCATGGAATGATAGCTCCATATACAGATGGGCAGTGCCTGTCTTGACAGGAACCTGACTGTGGTTTCAACATCATTTGAACATATCTCTCTTGGCTTTTCAAAAAACAGCTGGAAATCTGACAAGAACAGGCTTTCCTGGAAGTCTGCTGATCTTGTGTTTCTGTTCTCATCCCAAAATAGGAAACAGAACACAAAAACATTGATCTGAACATCTCAGGCCCTGCCTTAAACTCTGTTCTCTTTAAAAAATAAACAGTCCTGGTGATAACAGGTTCCTATTCCAATGCACCCTGCCTGCTGCACTGCTCCATGGGAAGGGAATGAAGAGGGAGATGACAAGAAGTATCGAGATCCCAAAAAGTAACTCAAAGGATGCTCTGCCTGCTGACAATGGCTTTGTAATGTGTCACAAGCTGGGCAGTGTCACCCAGGAGGGGAGCAGGGCTCACTGCCCTCCCAGCAAGGGGCTGCCATTGCCAGGACATGAAGTAGCAAAGAACTTGCCAGATTCTTCTCCACTTATGTCACAGTCATCTAACACCACATTGCAAAATTTAACTTCAGCTGCTTAATGAGACCCTGCTCTCCAGTGAAAACATAATCAAATTATGTTAAATTGGCAGTTTGAAGGATGCTGTATGTAGGGGGGCTGCTTAACCCTGTGACAGTCAGCTGGCTCCAAGCTCTCTTCCAAGTCTTCTGATTGCCTCCAGTTCCCTGAGGAGTTTTCATCCCTGCTGCAGCAACACCTCCTCCTTTTGCTCCTTTTTCCTCTCTAAACACTAACATCCAATTCTGCACTCAGACTAAAACGGAACAGGTCATTCCCCTTAGCCTGAACATGCCAACAGCACAATGTCAGACAGGCAGATGTTGGACTTATTTAGAGTGGATTTTGCCACACGTTATGCTCTCAGTCCAAGTATGACCAACACAGATCTCAAAACTTGGAAATAATACGGGGTCTGGAAAAAAACAAGCATTGTAATCAGTTTACTGAGATTCAGCAAGTCCTTTCCCCTAGAAACTGGCCTCTCAACAGGATGTCCAAAATACATGCTTAGGCACAGAAAACAAAACTCAAACTCTTAAGTGTGAACAATGTGGTTTAGTGTTTGAAATGAGTCAAGAATCCCACTCCTTGCTGTACTCCCAAAGTGCTGCACAACCTTGGATAAGTTACTTCACCCTTAGTCAGGTTTTCTGTTTCTTATTTAGACACAAACCTTTATGAAAGCTTTTTTTCCAGAAATGTTTGTATTAAGCTCAGCTGGGCCTCAAACTGATTTCTCACTACTGGAACATAAATAGGAATAAAGGTCCTGAGTGCCCTGGGGCAGAAACTTTCCCAGCATGAGAGCCCTCACAGGGGCTGCCCTGTTTTGGGCAGGAGATGCAGAGATTTTTAACCACGAGCCATAGAGTGAATTTCACACTGCTTACAGTGTCCTTCATCCCACTAAAGCAGCACAGAAAAGCAGCCTGATGGAGAACAGCGAGACACTTGAACATAAACGTGGGTTGTATGAGGTAATTGTGTACAAGTTGTGTGAAACTGAAGTCAGGCAGCCAGTGCTGACTGAGACTTCCTTACTGGGCATTCCTTTCTAAACAGCCTGCCTAACAGACAGGGCAGTGGAAAAGCAAAAAATGCTGTCTGTGTGCTCCAGGCAACCCAAAGATGTGGGGGGGCAGAGGGAGTGGTCCTGCAGTCCCTGCTCACGTCGTACCTGAGTCCAGACCAGGACCTCCTACAAGGCTCTTTGCAAGATTCCTGAACTATAGCAAAGCATGGACAGTTAAAAAAAAATTAAAAACCTCTCATGAGATTTAAATAGCTTGCTATATAAAGACCATCCCATTTCAGGAAATGAAAGTAATTTAGAAATAACCAACCAAGTGTTACAAATACATGTGCAGAATCTAATTAAGGAAGGTTGTAGAATTAATGGCCTTTGTTTTATCCTGAGTAGCTGAAGGGATCCTGCTTGCCTTTCTGCTCATCAGGTATGAAGTTAAAATTACTCACGACAGCACAGCGAACGTGACCAGGGTGATGGTCAGGCAGAAGATGGACAGGGCGCAGCCGATGTAAGTGATGGAGGAGAGGGCCACCTGGTGTTCTCTCGTTAGCTGCAGGCACAGGAGAGACCAGAACAGAGCTGTGAGCGGCTGTCCCCCCGAGCAGGCCAGCCCTGCCTTGCCCTGCCTGCCCTGCCCATGGTGTTCTGTCCCTGCCAGTGTCACACCTCAGTCCCCAGCAGTCCCTGCCCATGGTGTTCTGTCCCTGCCAGCGTCACAGCCCTGCCCTGCCTGCCCTGCCCATGGTGTTCTGTCCCTGCCAGCGTCACAGCCTGGCCCCAGCAGCTTTCAGCGGTTCCTGCCGTGGCTGCAGGGCTCAGGCAGCCTGAACAACTCAGCCCGGGAGCTCGCAGGGCCCTGTGCTGCTCGCAGTGATGCTGCAGCATTGTTCACAGTGATGTTCTCAGTGCTGCTCACAGTGATGCTGCAGCGCTGCTCACAGGGCCCTGTGATGCTGCAGTGCTGCTCAAAGTGATGCTGCAGCATTGCTCACAGTGATGCTCGCAGTGCTGCTCACAGTGACCCTGCAGCGCTGCTTGCAATGCCCTGTGATGCTGCAGCACTGCTTGCAGTGATGCTGCAGCGTGCTCGCAGTGATGCTGCAGTGGTGCTCACAGGGCCCTGTGCTGCTTGCAGTGCTGCTGCAGTGCTGCTCCCAGGGCCCTGTGATGCTCCCAGTGATGCTGCAGCACCGCTGCAGTCATTCCCATCCCTGTGCAAGCACCACCATGCAGGGAGAGCAGCACCAGAGAACACATCCACCAGAGCCCTTCAGAGCCACGGGCTCGGTGCGATGGATCCTGTTGGCAGCGCCTGCCGAGGGAGCTGGGCTGACACTACAGAGTGAGAAACCCCAGCAAGGAGCCAGCGTGAGCAGCAGGAGGGCAAACTCTGCTCCCAGCCCTGCTTCCATCTCCTGGCACCTCCTGGGGAGGTAATGCAATTTTTAGGAGCATTTAAACTGCAACTCCACAGTGCTCTCCCACCAGGATCTCTGTTAAACCTGGACAGAGTCAGTGCAAGAGGGACACTGTGGTTTGGCTATTCATCTTCAATTAATCAGAGTGTGGTTTAATTTTCCATGCAAGTTCTCATAAAAGAATGACAAAAGAGCCACACCCAACAAAGGGAGCCAGGCAGTATTAATATGTAATAAGTAGAACAGAGCTAGGCAGGAAAAAGCTTTCTCATCCTAGAAGAATTTTCAAACATTTTTCATGACTTGATTTTGGACAGACTTGACATTTTCATAAACTGAAGGAAAAAAAATTAGTCAATCAAAAAGTTTTAATTTTGATGCTTGAAATATGGTGTTACTATTTAAATCTCAATTTACTATTAATTAAATTCCAAGCTGAAAAATATTTATTTCTTATTAAAAAATACTAAAAGGAATGTTTCAAAAACATTTTTACAGCACATTTATCTAATAAAAACTACTCTTTCACATATGTTTGGGATTTTCTATTCTTTTCCACACACACAATAAAATTTCCCACCCAAAGTATTCCATTAGAGATTATCAAACCGAAGCAGCTCTACCAATAAACCCCCCATTAAAATTCCTTTTAAAGGAGAGAAATAATGTGCCATGTGGTCATGGGAAAACATAAATACAGACAAAAAGAGGTGCTGTGTATGTCGGTTTTCACTGTAATTATCTGCCCTAGCAGCTCATGTGTGCGAGTTTCCAGCAGAAGAGCTCAGCAATCCGAGAGCCATTAAGGGATGCAGCAGCACTGAAAGACAACTGTTGCTATGGTGTCACTGTTCCTAGGAAATATGATGCAGCTCTTGACTATTTTTTCATTTTTCAGCCAAAGACACATTTCTTTTCCCTGACTGGACAGCATCAATTACGGAAACAACAGAGTTCTGTGTACTGGAACAGCTTAAAAGCTCCAGATAATTCCTACAAAAGAGATGCTATCATCCCTCATCCCCCAAAGAAGCCATGTACAGGCATTCTTCACAGAAGATTCCTGAAATAGGATCATCTGTGTGGCAAATGGAGCACTTCAGAAGTGATTTCCTCATCAGGTATATTCATGTCCAAAATGCATGGCCCTTATTTCCCAGTTCCTCCAGTAGACACCCTTTTCCTTTTTCCCTGGCTGCAGGTGGCTCACAATTCTGCAGAAGGGGGAGGGGAGCTGAGAAAGCTTTTCAGATGTAAAGTCACTCTGAAATCAGTATTTCTTATCAGTCCTTAAGCCATAAAATGCTCCCTAGAGAGTTTCCCTGCTCAGGGAAAATTCATATTTACAGTGGTCTGTCCTGGTGTTTGCCCTGGCAGGGATCTCAGAGGGGTGGTGTGTCCTTACTATCACAGACAAATGCAGAAGATCCCGAGGAGAAAACCAGTGGAAATGGGCAAAAACTCACAGAATCCCAGAATGGCCTGGGTTGGAAGGGACCTTAATGGTGCAGTGCCACCCCAGCCATGGCAGGGATACCTTCCACTGCCCCACGAGCTCCCAGCCCTGTCCAGCCTGGCCTGGGGCACTGCCAGGGATTCAGGGGCAGCCCCACTGCTCTGGGCACCTGTGCCAGGCCTGCCCAGCCTCTCAGGGAGGAATTTCTTCCCAATGTCTGCTCTAAACCTTCCCTCCTTCTGTTTGAAGCCATTCTCCTTTTCCTGTCACTGCCTGCTCTTGTCAACAGCTCCTCTCCATCCTGTAGGCTCCCTTCGGGTGCTGGAAAGCCACAATTAGTCAGCCTGACGCCTCCTTCTCTCCAGGCTGAACGGACCCAAATCTTTCCATGTGGGAAAGGTGTTCCATTCCCCCCAAATCAAACTGATTGTTTTTTTCCCATAGTAATCCAAAAGAAGATAATGATCACTCAGATATTTTTGCTCTCTAATTTCTTTGATGTCATGTTTCTAAGAAAGTCTGTCTCTGGGTTTTAGTTCAATCTTTCTCCAGAAACCCCTGCAGGGCAAGACAAAATGCGAATCCAACTGAGCCTCTATGACATAGAAATGAAAAAGGGGAAAAAAAATCTCTTCTACAACAAAATGTATGAGATTCACTGAAACCTGAAATAACCTACATAGGTCCCTGCACCTGTGAGCTGGAAATTGCTCTTGCTCTGGTGAACACAACCAAAATGTGATGAGGCTCTAAGAGTGATGCTCCTAAATCAATACTCACATCAGTCGGGTAACAGCTCTTCCAAAAGCAGCAGCACTGCAGTGCAGCCTCTCCTCCTGCCCGTGTGAGGGACAGAGCTGGGCTCCAAGCTGTCTTTCATTGCTGTTAAGGACCCAGGGCAGCCTGCGGGGGCTGTTCTCAGAGGGGCAGCTGGGCTGGAGGCTGCAGGAGGGCTGGAAAGCTCCTGCTCGTGCAGGTGTGAGTTGCAGGGAAAGAACGTGAGCAAGCACAGAAAGAGCATGAAAGGAGGCCTGGAATGATTTCCAGGCTGTGCAGCCTCACTGCAGGGCGGTGCTGGAGGAGGGAAAAGACCCTGCATTTAAAGATATCAGATCTCCAGAACCCTCTCAACCCTGCTGTCACAGCACATCTGGATGTGCTGCATTCTCATTTGAAGGGATAACAAGGAGCAATTTGTTAGAGGTACCTGGGTTGTCAAAATATTGGGCCTTATTAATTTAGAAACTATTTTAATGAATTCCAGTGCTCTGATAAGGGCTGATTTTACCTTACCTCAGCGTGTCCTTTTGAAAGTTTACAGACTTCCTGCATGATGTGGAATATAAAACAGTAATTTGGGATGTTTTTGTAGTCAGCACAAAAACTCTAATCAAGCTGCAATGCTATTATTAAGGAAAATAGCATTAAAAAGGACCACATAAAACACTGAGCAATCTGTGAAGTTGTCCCATGAGCCTGATTCTCACACTTGTCCCAGTCTACATTAAATTATTCTTTTCTTCTAAAATGCTTTGCTTCCTTGCATTTATATGGTCATTCTTTTACTCTGAAAAGCCAGGAAACGAGCTCATCCACTCATGTCAGCAATCACCAACACTAAGAGACAGATGTTTCTTAGTTTCAGCTCTGGCAAGGTAAAATCAAAAATTCCTACCTCATGTAAAGCCCTCACCCTTTCAGCTGCAACACCCCTCACCTTGAGTGTGCTGAAAGCCTGGCCAAAGAACGGGAGGGTTTGGGCAGATCCACCCACCTGGGGCAGCAGAGCCCACTGTCCTACCCTTGCTCTCCCTCTTAAAAAAGTTACTACATTGCTTAACACTTTTATTTTGGAAACTGGCAGGCAAGTGGATGGCCTGAGAAATGATCCAGCTCAGACTCCAAGTACGAATTTTTCATTTATAAAGCTGTGCATGGAAAAAAAAAAAAAAAAAAAAGAAGTGCTAACTCCTCTGTTTATAAATAACTGTACAGAAGATGAAAATACATTATTATAATGAGATGGTACCTTTCGTACCTGCAGGAGCTGGGAAAGGTCATTCAGGCTGAAAGACTTACTCAGAAGGCTCTACAAGAAAAATTGTTTGTGTCCGGAAGAGAAAAGCTCCTTTTTTTATGTGAAGTCACTGAGTGACCACACACAGGAGCACAACAGCCCCTGGGCAGTTCAGAGCACCTGCCTGGGCTCTCTGCTCAGTGCTCCCTTTTTCCAGGGGACATCTGCCCTCCTGTCCCTGTCCTTTTCCAAATTATTCACCTCTCGGGCCATTGACTGCACCTCTTCTGCTTGGCTAAGAGTGTACTTTTGGCTTTCTCCAAAGGAAGGAACTTTTTGGGGAAGTTCTAACCTGAAATTTTCTCCTTCATATGCTGCAAAACATCCCTCTATTTCTGCCTTCAGAGGTCACACATCAGACAAAGGGCTGAGCTCCAATACTTCAACCAAGGCTTGTCATAGCTGATCCTGACAGGGTTTGCCCTTGGACCAAGTTACAGCTTCACCATTTAGACACCAAAAGCAGTAATTTCACTGTCTAAACTACTTTTGAAATCTCATTTCTGAAAAACAATTCCTCTTCCAGACAAAGGCAAGTTGTTGAACCAAAAAAGGTTTTACAACCTCAAAAATGAGTTCTGCAAGCTGAGGAGATCTTA